TGCTGACCTAATGAGTCAAGATAGAAGTAAAGTTAGTTATTAGAATTCATCCTGAGGAGATCATGAAAACACAAACCAACTTTCATGACAATACACCTACTAGTAGTTGTTAATTGTGAAAAATATATTTCATTTCAATTAAAACCACGTATTAACCTCCACGGTGGACTCAGGAGATCACTGAAGTCAGTAGGGTTCATCATCTTGGAACCATCAATGCCTGCATTAAAACTTTAAGGGCAATTGTTTCATTATTTGTTGACTGACTAACTGGCATTGGCTGCTGTTGGCGTGGCTCAAATCAGAAGCTATTGTGCTGTTAAACTGCTCATTTAGCTCCCGCTACAGCGTATATCAGGACCGGTAAAAGCCACTGTTACGCTGGCAAATGTAATAACCATGTGACCAGGAATCTGTTTGCATTCTGTAAGCCTGTTTTGCAATATGAGAAGCAGTCCTCAGATAGACAGCCTAATTAAAGCATGCTGGAGTTGCCATGACAATAACCTTTCCACCTTGGGTCAGGTGAGAGCAGAGAAGATCAGGTGGCTGGAGTTGATCTGAGGTCTACACGGAAAAGTTAGACGCAGGGGTTGTTCCTCTTTGTGCTTTTTAGTAGCATCATGAAGTACTCAGGAACAGGAATGAGGAATTTCAAACCAAATTCACCTTTTTATGGCCAATTTTGACTTGTCTCACTGGGCTTCTCTGAGAAGTCAAAAATCCATCCATCCATCCATCCATCCATCCATCCATCCATCCATCCATCCATCCATCCATCCATCCATCCATCCATCATCTATACACCGCTTAATCGTCACTAGGGTCACAGGGGGGCTGGAGCCTATCCCAGTCAGTCTATCACAGGGCCACACTTAGAGACAGACAACCAAGCACACTCACATTCACACCTACCAACAATTTAGAATCACCAATTAACCTCAACATGTTTTTGGACTGTGTGGGAGGAAGCCAGAGAACCCGGAGAGAACCCACGCTGCTCCAAACTCCCCACAGAAAGAGCCCAGGTGTCCTCACCGGGATGCAAACCTGCGACCTTCTTGCTGCGAGGCAACAGTGCTAACCACTGCGCCATCTTGCATCCCAGTCAAAAATTAATCCAGCATAATATTCAACCATTAGAACTCATTTGTCTGTTCAGGAACGCAAGAAAGTAACTATAATTTGACATCTTAATGAAGAGATAATAATGTGTTTTACTGTTTTTTCTGGGTTCTTTTTGTAAAACAGTAAATTTGGATACATGGATAACAATGATAATTATATTTTAGCATTAAAAACATCATTTCGGTTAAAGAGCTTCCACATACTGGTGTATTAACCATTACAAAAACATAAAGCATGATTTTGGTAATTACCAATGCTGTTAATTTAGGGCAGATGTGTCATAACCCTTACATTGGGCAGTGGTCTAATAAATCTGACCACCTATTGGCTAATAGTGGCTTAATGCAAAAATGTAAACAACTTCAAGGATCATTGCTTGGGAGAAGTAAAGGAAGTAGTATTTTAGAATTCGGAAAAGGTGTTAACAAAGTCAGCCTTCTACCCATATCTGCCTGCCAGTGTGCCATCAGGAGTATGCAAGGGACCTCCAGGCAAGATGTGACAGAGGGCCTGCTAATATAAGAGTAGCATCGATAATTTTTACAGAATGTGACCAAAACACTATTTCACCAATTCTGTTTGATTTGAGGCTACACCAGTCCACATGTACCATAAAGCCAACTTGGACCAGAGTCTGAAGCCACTGATGTAATTATGTGGATATATATATATATATATATATGGCAGAGTTGATGGAACTGACGTGCCATTTGCTGTTTGTTTTCAGCAATTACAGCCCAATCATTATGCTTTTGATGTCCGAGAACAATATTGCATGAATGTACAACCAGCTGCTTTCTCCATGCTGTCAAAGCCTGGGCAATTTCTTACATTAGATGCATGAAATCAGTGGAGATGGAGGGATTTTTTATTTTATTATTTTTTTTTGTTTGATCTTCCAATGTATATTTTTCTGCATCTCCGTGTTGCGCTGCTGTCTCAGTGGTAATAATGGGTTTCTATTTATTCTCCTGGCACATGGATGAGGGCTTTCGCAGGTCCTTTGTTGCCTCCCATACTATTTCCTCCTGTCTCCGTGTTGTGCGGAGACATGAGTTTGACGCCGAGGGGAGAATTTCTCCACGACCGGAATCAGCACCCCATCATCCCACAGCCGCGCTCCACTTTCCATTTGTTTCTCTCTCAGTATTCTCATTTTTTTTTTCTGTATCTTTCTGCCAGTTCCACAACACAGCTCCCTCATGTTTACATATTGCCTGATCCAAAACAACAAACCGAAGCTTTACAGCTTGCAGCCCCTGTGCTCGCTCGCTCACTCTCGCTCTCTCTCTCTCTCTTCCATTTTTCTCTCTCATCTTCCCACTTGTGCTATTTCTTCTTTCACTCGTGGCCATCGTGACTTGTCTGTGACTACACAAAAGGAAAACGCAGGACACACAGGAAATGCAATGACGGATTCCAAAGGGGTTTTGTTTACAGGTAATGGCGTAGTTACTGTTACCAAGTGCCACAGCAACTAGTTGGCTTAGTGTGTTGCCGGGACTTTTTCTGAAGGTTACCCATTGTTAAAAGAGGATGCCTTCAACACGGTGTCCTTGGAGGAGGAATCGTCTCCTCCAACACTGAGTTGGTGTTGCATGTCCAACTTAAGACATAAATGAATAAGTGAACTTGATGTTGTCTCTCGTTAGGTGGATTTCCACTTGGGGCAGACAGATTTGAATGCCTTACAAATAGTTACTAAAACTCCTGTTCTATGGGAAGGTAGAGAGAAAATGGAAGGTTTTTCACTTTTAGGGTGATGTTAGAGAGGAGAACTGCTACTTGATGACATCAAGAGGACAGAGAAGTGGCACTTGTTGTTCCCTCCAGGTTTAACGGATCAGCATTTGTCTTGTCCGAGCTGAACCCAGAGCAGTTTTTGGGTCTTTTTTTTTTCTCTCCTGCCACACTTTCCTCACTGTGGACTCATTTTTCACTGCAATATAAAGTCCTGCACCTCTACGGAAACAGCACAAGCATGGCCACAAGTAATGGAGGAACTCAGAAATGTGTTGTGGGCATAAAGATACAGTTATAATGCCCAAATTCTTTTTTTCTTCCTTTTTTTTTTTTTTAAGAAAAAGCCAAAAAGTTGCTTTTCTTTGATTATTTATTTTACAAAAATGGAAAAACCTGACATTTTTCCAAGTCCCCACAGGTGTTACCTATCCTATAAACAACCCCTTTCTTCACAAACTAGGGTTTTTCACACCACTCTGCTCTTAAAATGTAGAAAGATTTCTCACCATGCTGACACATCTCCCAACAAGTTGCTGACAGCTTGTTCCTCAGTGCACCATTTCTGAGCCATGCTGCATTTATTTAATTGATCAACTAGGTTTTATTTTTCTCTCAATCCCTTAAATTTGTTCCCATACTCGTCTCCTCTCTGCTCTGTGAAAACACTGCCTGCAGTTCAGGTGAAAGGTTCCAAAATTTTGTCACGTGACAGCTTACGAACAGTTTGTTTGTGGCGATTTTTTAAAAACTATACATTCGATTCAATTTAATTCAAGTTGATTTTCTTTATATTGTGCTGTTCACACCATATGTCATCTCACAGTGCTTAACATCGTAAGGTGGAGACCTTGCGAATTTAAGTAGAGAACCCAACAATCCAGAGTTGCCTTTGGATTCCCTCTAAGTTAGCAGTCAGCAACAGTAGGAAGGAACCAAAACAAAAAAAACTCCAATGGAAGGGAAAAAAAAAAAAAACCTCAGACAGAACCAGGCTGAGGAAAGGCGGCCATCTGCCTCAACTGGTTGGGATGAGAATGGGCTTATCACAGTTTTCGCTTAGATTTGTTAGCTTCCCATGATGCAACTGTGATTCACACATGATTTGTTCAAGGGCTTAAAGGTTGAAAATCCAACGATTCTCTTTTTTTTTCTTCTTTTTTTTTTACAGTAATTGGCTCTGATAAATGGTGTAATTTCGTCCATAACACACCTTGAAAGCCCAGCAGCATTTTGGGGTTCAGAAAGTTAACCAGACACTGTTTTCTTTTCCGAAAACAACCCCGAAAGAGGTTTTACAGGCGTGGTTCTCATCGTCAGCACACATAAATACAAATATTCCGGCCGCCCTACAATGCCCCCACATGTTCCTACAGTGGAAAACATCGATTCAGCCACACCCGGACTGACCAACATGCGAGAGGCAGAAAGCAAAGTGTCAATTATTTCATCATAGATCATAAAGAAACACAACCCCTCTGATCCTCTCGAGTCTTCACTTTCCCCTCCTCCTCAGCCCGGCGATTTTATTTTTGCTCTCTCACTCTTTCCATCCATCCTTGAACCCACTCACTCGGTGCTGTCTCACCTTACTCTCCGTGTCGATCTAAAAAATGGGCTCAGGAAGTCACTTTGCAACAGCGGAGTGATATAAAACTGTAAAATCAGACTATGTTTGATTTATGTGCACCATTAGCGGGGAATAGTGTTCCATCATAAGTAGTCTGTCTGTCTGGAGGCTGCATGCGAAACCTATACCCACGGTCGTACAGATAGGATTTTATGATCTGGACTGAATGATGGGATTATCATAGCTGTAATTATGGCGAGCGGTGTGTATTGTGTGTTTGTGCGCGTGCCCGCTCGATGCAACCTTCTCTCCAGCAGTTCTCATATTTACCGAGGCTGCTTCGTGATTGATGCCGGGACCAACACGGATGCTTGTTTCATATTTAGCCGATTTTACAGCGAATGTGAGAATGAACGTGATAATGAGAAAGAAACAGTTTGTTGGAAGGCGTGTGATGAATCACAACGCAGCGCTGCGGCGGCGAGCTCAGCTGAAGAATGCGTGGCTTACCTGTTGCGTGACCTCGAAAAAGTAACGTTTGCTTCTTTTCTCTCTCTTGCAGCGAGGGAGGAGAACGTGGCCACCTTCCGGGGCTCGGAGTACTTCTGCTACGACCTGTCGCAGAACCCCATTCAGAGCAGCAGCGACGAGATCACGCTGTCCTTCAAGACGTGGCAACGCAACGGCCTCCTGCTCCACACGGGGAAATCCGCAGACTATGTCAACCTGGCGCTAAAAGATGGGGCGGTTTCCCTCGTCATCAATCTGGGTTCCGGGGCCTTCGAGGCCATCGTCGAGCCAGTCAATGGAAAATTCAATGACAACTCCTGGCACGACATCAAAGTGACACGCAACCTGAGACAGGTAATCGGGGGTAACAGTGATGGACGGAGTTTGGAGACAGGTGTTTTTTTTTCTTCTTTTTTTCTTTCTTGGCTTTAGATAAAGCTGCTTCCATGAGCTTCTGAGAGGGAGCTGGCATTAAGAATGTCACCTTGGTTGTCATTCCATCGCTAGATATATTACTGAGATAGATGTCATTATACTTTTGGTTGTCTTTACAGTGACATGATTTCTTTTTTTTTGTTTTAATGTCATTGTCTAATTTCTCTCCTACTGAATGAATAGCTAAAGGACACAGGGCAAAGCAATTCTATGGCATGTGAATGGTAGCGTATTCAAAGTACTGTTCTGCTAGGTGTTTTCTTCTCTCCTGTTTATCGGCGTATTGAACTTGAGTTCTCTGTGTCCTCAAATTAAAGTTATCTGATAAATCTATTTTGCTTCACACTCCCCTGAGCTGACACTTCTATCAGGCGCTGTCACTATCTCCTTGCTTTCAGAAACTGTGATTTTTTATTTTTTTTATATGCTTGTGTAGAATATAGACTTTCACTTTAAAGCCAGACGCAGAGTGTTTTGCCTTTGAGCCATCCATTAACGCAGTATTTATAGCACCGATGATCATGATGCTTTTTAAAGATAGAGATACATTTCCATCAAATGGGCATCTGTTCAGCATAAGCAGAATCTGACAGATATTGTTTTCCGTTTTCTTAATGTAATTCAAAGTTAGCTCATATTGCCTTTAAGACAGGAGTGCCGTAGAAACAGAGTAGAGCTGCACGGAGGTAGTTGCAGAATGTGGAGTTGTTCATTGTCTCGGTCGACCTTTAGTTTGTCGGCAAGGTGAGACAGCATTTAGTGCTGCTCTCAGAGCAGCACAACAAGTAAGTGCTGATTTTCTGACCCTCCCTGACAGTAAGCTTTTGTCCCACAGGTTAGTAAATAGTTGTAGCCTGAAAATCCCAACAGGATAACACACAGTTTAGAGGGTTATAAGCTAAGAGCCAAGGTCTGCTTGCCTGCTTTCTTCTTTCCTTCTTTCTACAGATCTGTCTCTCTTTCACTTTCATTTTCTTTCCTCTTTGAAAGGCACACTTTGTTAGAATAAAGGTGAAACAAACACTACAAGTTTTGTTGGAACTCAAGCCATCCTACACAAATTTTTACCTGACATCTTACAGTACTTGTCTTTGTTTTTTTTTCTTCCTTTCCTTGCAGGACTCTGATGTAGAAAATTTGGCTAGGATGGCACGGTGGCACTTTGTTACTGCAGCGAATCTCTGACAAATCGTGTAGTGTTTATTCACCGCGACACTAACTCATCCATGATAAAAGTCATTTTTTACTACTAACCAATTTCTAACCAACTAATGTACTAACATCCTAATTCTTCATCGTTGCTTTTGGTTTTTGTTTTCTGTCCATCCTTATTAACAACCTTTTTTGTTCACTATTCTTTTGATTTCCTTTCTTCCCCTTTTTCTGGAAAGCAATCAGGCATTGGACACGCTATGGTAAACAAACTACATTGTCTGGTAGATATCATTCTTATTGTCTTTTTTTTGGGTTTGCCGTGTGTCCCCTCCCTCTCTCTTCTTTTATTCGTTCTCTTTGAGTTCCATCCTAGACACTCTTATCAAAAAATGAGGAGATGGGTTTGTATTACCAGGCAATTCTTTCTTCGCTTCTTCTCAATTTCCTCCCTGACCTGCCAACAACCTCCTTCTTTACCCCACAATACCCCATCCTGTTTTTTTTCACTTTGGCTTTTACTTTTTTCTCTTTGTTTCCTCCACATTACTGCAGATTTCCAACAAGTAAAATAATTGACTTCTTCGCCTTTGTCAGGGCAACTTATTTTTTTTTATTTTATTTTTTTTCACACAAAAAGTCCCCATTTTTTGTGAGGACTGTCGTCCAGAACTGACAGAAGCTTACCACAATCCCAAAGATGGTGACCTCGACACCGAGCCCTAAACGAGAAAAAAAATGGCAACCCTTAACCTTCATTGCGGGAGCTCTGACAGTTGTTTCCAACTCACTATGGCGCATGGCATGCCCACACTTCATTGACCTATCACCTCCCAGTTTCATATAACCTCAAACCCTGTCACCCAGAATAACCACTAACACTCTAATTCATTCACTCACCCGTCACCGTATCACTCACTTTGCCCTCCCTGTGTGTACTTTTGTAGCATGCTGGTGAAAGTGGTGTTGGTGTGTTTTGGCTTACCTTTGACCACCCTTACCCCCGGGCCCATATGCTCAACATTTCCAAGAATAAGCATTCTGATCTGGGATTATCGGTCTGGTTCGGTGACATTAACGTTGCAAAAAAAAAAAAATGGCACATGGGCTAAACCTGATCAGAGATCAGCATCTGCTATTCTGAGAGTGTATTTGAATATGGGCTCTGGTCTTGACTGTGCATGAGCCGCTGCAGCCCGTGTGGTTTGTTCCAGCTTTGTATGGCACCATTGATCCACTTACTCCCTTACATGTCCAGTTAAGTGTGTTTAATTTGCCTTCTAACAGTGATGACCTTGGTTTGCACATTGATGTGGTGTGAAAAGCCTCCCTTTGTTTTGCATGTGTGTGGATATATAGATGTAGATGTCTGCAAGAGAGAGGAGAACGTGAGAATATTGGTGTGAGAACGACTGTGAGCGCGTGTGGAGACGTGCGTGCGCGCGTCCGAGTGTTTTGTGCGTTTACATATGTGTACTGTATATGTGTGTGTCTGCAGTTACAAATAAATCCCGAAACCTAAGACAAGTGCGATCAATTTGTCCTTGGTTTGAACATTGTACTAACCCTCCCCCCAACCTGAAGTTTCTGAACCAAACCTAGGAATCCATTCTCTTACCCCCATCAAAGATAAAGAAAATATGCCTCTGCCATATTTTCTTTACCTGTCCTGTGAATCCTACGGCAAAAATTCCATTAACAAAATCAAAACGCTGTCTGGTCCAAAACAATGGCTTCAAGGTACCAAAAGATTCTGAAAAAAAAAAAAAACGGTTAAATGAGAATCCAACCTACAGTGTGGAACCTAAAGAAAAGCTCATTTCAAATGCAGACCAAGGAAGGAGGTGTGTTTTATACACAGCACGAGATCGAATCCCAGAGTGTAATGGCTTGGCTTTGGCTATGTGTTACCCCTCAACAGGTGACAATCTCCGTTGATGGGATCCTCACCACCACCGGCTACACCCAGGAAGACTACACCATGCTGGGCTCCGATGATTTCTTCTACGTGGGTGGGAGCCCCAGCACTGCGGACCTGCCAGGATCCCCAGTTAGCAACAATTTCATGGGCTGCCTCAGAGAGGTAGGAGGGGCTCAAATGAATACAGATTGAGCTCAGGTGCATGACTAGTGTAGTAGTATAGTGCAACTTACAATGTGGTTGTTCCCTCTACACACACACGCAATGTATTTGGTGCAACTGGCATTTGCTTCATCGGTGCAGCTGTTTTTGTAAATGTGCAAAAGTAATAATCAGCCCACTTTGCCTGAAAGGAAGGAGAAGGAGAAGGGGGAAAAAAAACCCCCACAAAAAAACAAAATTGCATTATCAATTAAAGCTGCTGAGTTGGCAGAGGAAGTATCAGACTTTCAATATTCCCCCGCTTAATCTAATTCATAACACTTACTGCAGTTTGTGTGTGAGAAAATATCCCAAAATTGCTTCTGTCACATGTAATTTGCAGCATCAGCTTGAGTGTGCCGCTAAAACGCCTCCCAGTGGGCAGCAATCTGAAAGAAATATTTGCTTATGATGAAATACGGAAAGGCGTCGTTGTTTTGGGACATTTATAATGTATTTGCTGGCTGGTTTGAGCTTGTGAGTAGAGCCAAAAAAATATATTAAGTACCCTGTTATTTACATTTTGCTCGCCATTACTTATTCTCTAGCAAGTAATGATAATAAAGAGAGGGCTGGTGGCTCTTCGGAGCCGTAAAAAAGAAAAAAAAAAAAAAGAAGTCTGCATCGATTTCCACAGTTAAGCTGCAGCCTCAGAAATAGCGTTATATTTTCACTTGAGTGCAAAATCATGTATACTGATATTACATATTACCAGTGATTTTAAATTGCTATTAAAATATGTTGGGGCTGCGGTTACTAATGCATGTGAATTATATATATATTTTTTTCCCTCTTTTCCGGCTGTGCCTAAGTGCAAGTTTGTTTTCATGTTGTGTTTTCTGTCGTCCTCGACTTCGCAAATAGAAAAGTCTGTTCTGGTGAAATTTCAGGACTAATCTACCTCAGATGATTGCAGCACTACTAGAAAATTGTTGCTGTAGTTTGTTGTTATGGCTGATACAATTTTCTTTTGGCGAAATGGCTAAAACAGCTCTTCTGCCATCTCGCATTGGGCCGCAGATAAATAACCCTGGCAGCTGTTAGATTGCGGGCTGAAAACACAACAGCAGTGGTAATAATATGTACGAGCAGTAGTTGTAGTTGTCAGCAGTTAAAGCAGTTAGATGCGAGGGTGCAGTCGAGCCCGGTGGAAGCGCTTTGTGTCAGCTTTTTTTCTCCGTAGTCAACATCAAATGGATCATGTAAAGTGAAGACATTCAACACTGTGACGATTAATTGATCCTCCTTGTTTTTTATCCCGCGAAGACGCCGGTGTCGGTTTCTAACAAGGATCAGATGTCAAGCAAATAAATGCCAGCAGATCGACTAACATCCCGGTGATACACAGTATGTTACTACCTCATTAAAGTCTCATAAAAATATACTGAAGGCCTCAGAAACTATGACTGTCGGCTGCAGAGATATGGACGGCGCATGTAAAGCCCTGCTACTGAAATAAACATGACAGGAAACATTGCTGGCTTCATCAACATGATAAAGTTATGGTGTTCTGTCATTCAAACATTTACGTCAGTGTTCCTCATGGCTTACATACGATCAGAGTGATGGAAAGAGTCACAGCACTTAAGCAGCTACCAATTAATAAAAGTAAACCTAAACTAATAGCAAGTTTATTACCGTAAAGACAGGATCGATCAGGCTCTAAAGCACGGGTGTCCAATCCTGGTCCTCGAGGGCCACAGTCCTGCATGTTTTAGATGCTTCCCTCTTCCAACACACGTGATTCAAATGATCAGGATCGTTATCAGGCTTCTGCAGAGCTTGATGATGAGCTGATCATTTGAGTCAGGTGAGTTGGAAGAAGGAAACATCTAAAACATGCAGGACTGTGGCCCTCGAGGACCAGGATTGGACACCCCTGCTCTAAAGGCAAATGACATTCTGTATTTTTCTGTCCATACACAGTTTACAAGCTGTCATTTAGTTATATGTTAGAATGTTGGTGGTTCACAGCTGCCAAGACGGTATTTTACTATAAAAGTCTGATCCGTGCACCAGAGTGAATATATTTTCTCTCATAGCAAGTTTTTATTTTAATTAGTGGAATTTTAGTCTCACAGCGGGATATTTGCAGTAGTAGTAGCACTAATAAATGTGGATGTGCTCCAGTGACCATATAGAGAAGCTGCCCTCGCTCATCATTAAAGTAAGACCTGCGTTGATTATCGAATCTTGGTGCAGGTTCAAGCTATTGGCAGGAAATATTCCCGGTTCTGACCTAGTGAGGCTGGCGACTCTGGACATGAGGTCGACACATTTAGATGAGTGTGAATGTGTGCACATCTGAAAGGGGCTTTACAAAACCATGTAAATGAAACCAGAATGGGGAATGAAGGTCACAGCATCAAAATGTATGTGTTCACTGATTCATGTATTAGATGTGTTGAAATGGAGATTTTTTGGGTTTTACTTATTAGAAAAGTGAACAAACCTCTAAGTCACTGACTGAATGGTGTAATTTTATAGCATCAAACAACATGTACAGTCTTTAGGTGAGCTGGTTATCCAGTCTCTACAAAGTTTTAATAGAAAACTGTTTGACTCGGTTGGAAAAATAGGAAAGAATCTCAATTAAACAGCATCATCTACTGTAATGATTGTGACTTAGGTCAACATACAATGACATGTACATATATATCTGCTTTGTAGTGCTATTGTAGTGGCGGTTATTTCATGCTGCTATTTTTATCCATTCAGGAAGTTTACTTTAAACCATCTGGCTGAATCATGAGAACCATATTATGCTTTCTGGCATCTCAAAGCCCTTGATAATAGTGGTGTAACAGGCCGTAGTTGCCACCCACGGTCCGGCTCGCGTTTTAATTGCAAACTTTCACCAACATAGTATGAAATGCAGTTTCACTGCAGCTGTTACTTTTTTGTAAAGTAACGAGAAGGGCACTCGGAGAGACCAGTTCTTTGCCAAGGCCAATGCGCTATCTTGCGATCTTAAGGAAAGTGATCTGGATTCACATCAGAATGTAATTGGCGATGCTCCACCTCTACACCAAGTTTCATTAAATTTGACTGGGTAGTTTTTGTATAATCTTGCTTGCAGATAAACAGATACACGGCGCTGGAAGCTGCCTCGACGAGGAATCATTTCCTGAATCTTCATGCAGAGTTGCGTGTTGCGTGTTTACATGAACGTTGCATGTTCAAAGCAGTTGACAGTGACAGTCCTGGCAGCATTTGCTGATCTGAAAAATGATCCAACTCGTGACTCAAAGCCGTGATACAATCAGGAGTTTTGTGATCCGTTGCACCTCTACTTGATAATATTAATATAGGTTTCCTACAGGGACATTAACATGCAGCCACGGCTCAGGCAGCAGCCCCCCTCTAGTCCTGGCTGTTTTTCTCTTTCATCACAGTCTTCTCAGTTTTGACAAGCGCCAAGCTCAGTGGGCCGCCGTCCAACACACTCACACTAACACACACAAGCAGCCAGGTTTGGGTGATGGCTAAAAGGGAAAGTCACCTTGTCTGCACTGTTGTATGTTTCGACTGAGTGGCTCAGACTGCTGTTCCTCTGGTCATTACCTCACTGGCTAATGCATCCCTCATCCACACTCTAACTGCTATGACCCTTTGTGCCTCCCTCCTCACACATACGGATACATATTTACAGTACGCCGCATTCACTTCCTGCATTGACCTAACCGCGTACCTACTTTTACCCAAGTTTCCATGCATAAATAGTTAACTGAATGTTGATTGTCAGTACTTGATTTAGCACACAGGACATAAAGTAAAGATGAGAGCTGCTCCACTCTCCTTGTTTGTATCATCAAAGAATTATAGATTAACAAATATATTATAGATGAAAAAATAGCCACAACATCACACAGCCCTGTGATGAAAACGCTCTCTCTGATGGTATTGTATTTCATGAAAAATGTGCATTTATGTTGTTCCTTTTTTTGCAGCATGGGAGGATTTGTTGATTTTCAGTTCTTGACAGCTATGGTATTCAGTCCTGCTCAAAGCATGAAACATAAATGAGAAGCGGAGCCGGCACTGCAGAGCAGCTCTGTATAGTTTTATAGGTACTCTAAACACAGCTGAAACATGTTTAGCATCAAAGTGATGTGAGGTTCTGGCCTGTTTTATTTGACCTGTATTGCAGATGTCAGGGAAAAGTTCCTGGAGCTTGTAGTTGCATCAGTAGTCTGTCTAAGAATTTATTATTGACATAAAATTGTCTATACTGTGCTATACAAAATAGGCCTAATTGTTTCTAGTTGATGCCGGAATTCATAGGTTAGTCCTTATAAAGTATGTAAAGAAAGTTGTTTAACGTGGCCACTTTTCTGTATATTGACGCACATGATGTCAATATCTTCAACTCATTCTCACACAAGTACGAAACTAATCCCTACCAAACCTCCTCACTCATCCTCCAGTGTAGGCAAATATGACAAATCCATTGTGAAAAAAAAGCTTCCTTCGACTCTGGTAGGTAGAAAAACACTTTCACTAGCGTTGTAAGCTTTCTAAAAATACTGGTGCTTGTTTGAGGTGCTACACTGCTGAGTTTCTTCTCTGGATCTACTCCAAAACCACATGCTTTATAGAGGCCATATTATGCACTTTATCATTGCTTTTGAGCAAAAATGTCCCCAATGTGTCTAGAAACCTGCAAAATATGAGTGAAGACCATCTCCTTGTTTCTTGCTTTTCCTCCATTAATCAGAAACAAACAGTTCAGGTTTGCAGCCTATTGTGATGTCACAGCAGGATAAGTCCCGCCCCCTGGTGGCTCCGCCTCCTCCTCTTAGCTCCTCTTACTGAACCCCTCCTGGTAAAAGGGTTGTGGGCAGCAGCAATTTAATACCACACCGAAATGGTCCATTTAGAGCAGAGCTAAAATCAAAAGTCTTCTCGGCCTGGCTGACCTAATGATCTGTGCAGCATTTTGAAACTTGAAATACACATTC